AAAAACAGCCTGAGTAAAGAGTCGCTAAGGACAGAAAAAATATTTATTTATTTGCCATACTTAAAATTTTCATATTTTCACAGAGGTCTTGCTATTCTTGTTGAGAGTATACTTTTACTATTAAGGGCAGACTGGCTGTCACTTCTATGGTTTTTATGAGAGAATCTTTGTAGAGTGAGATAATTTTCCCAAATCTTAAAAGATAATAATAAAATCTCTCTGCCAAGTCTTTTGTATTTCAGAGTGCTCACATGATATCTTAATCTCATTTTTATGATCTCTATGAGAAAACAGTAGGGCAAGTTGTACACCATTTCCATTTGATAGGGTAAAGTAATCGAAGTTCAGAGATGTGTATAACGGGTTGGAAGCTGCTGTATCAAAAAGCCCCTAGACTGGCTGAATGGATACAAAAACAAGACCCGTATATATACTGTCTACAAGAGACCCATTTCAGACCTAGGAACACATAGAGACTGAAAGTGAGGGGATGAAAAAAGATATCCCATGCAAATGGAAATCAAAAAAAGCTGGAGTAGCAATTCTCATATCAGACAAAACAGACTTTAAAACAAAGACTATTACAAAAGACAAAGAAGGACATTACAAAATGATCAAGGGATCAATCCAACAAGAAGATATAAAAATTGTAAATATTTATTCACCCAACATAGGAGCACCTCAATACATAAGGTAAATACTAACAGCCATAAAAGGGGAAATTGACAGTAACACAATCATAGTAGGGGACTTTAACACCCCACTTTCACCAATAGACAGATCATCCAAAATGAAAATAAATAAGGAAACACAAGCTTTAAATGATATATTAAACAAGATGGACTTAATTAATATTTACAGGACATTCCATCCAAAAACAACAGAATACACATTCTTCTCAAGTGCTCATGGAACATTCTCCAGGATAGATCATATCTTGGGTCACAAATCAAGCCTTGGTAAACTTAAGAAAATCGAAATCATATCAAGTATCTTTTCCGACTACAACGCTATGAGACTAGATATCAATTACAGGAAAAAATCTGTAAGAAATACACACACATGGAGGCTAAGCAACACACTACTTAATAACCAAGAGATCACTGAAGAAATCAAAGAGGAAGTCATCTGTCACAGAAACAAATGACAGTGAAAACACAATGACCCCAAACCTATGGGATGCAGCAAAAGCAGTTCTAAGAGGGAAGTTTATAGCAATACAATCCTACCTTAAGAAACAAGAAACATCTCAAATAAATAATCTAGCCTTACATCTAAAGCATTTAGAGAAAGAAGAACAAAAAAACCCCAAAGTTAGCAGAAGGAAAGAAATCATAAATATCAGATCAGGAATAAACGAAAAAGAAATGAAGGAAACGACAGCAAAGATCAATAAAACTAAAAGCTGGTTCTTTGAGAAGATAAACAGAATTGATAAACCATTAGCCAGACTCATCAAGAAAAAAAGGGAGAAGACTCAAATCAATAGAATTAGAAATGAGAAAGGAGAAGTAACAACTGACACTGCAGAAATACAAAGGATCCTGAGAGATTACTACAAGCAACTCTATGCCAATAAAATGGACAACCTGGAAGAAATGGACAAATTCTTAGAATGCACAACCTTCTGAGACTGAACCAGGAAGAAACAGATGACCAATCACAAACACTGAAATTGAAACTGTGATTAAAAATCTTCCAACAAACAAAAGCCCAGGACTAGATGGCTTCACAGGTGAATTCTATCAAACATTTAGAGAAGAGCTAACACCCATCCTTCTCAAACTCTTCCAAAATATAGCAGAGGGAGGAACACTCCCAAACTCATTCTACGAGGCCACCATCATGCTGATACCAAAACCAGACAAAGATGACACAAAGAAAGAAAACTACAGACCAATATCACTGATGAACATAGATGCAAAAATCCTCAACAAAATACTAGCAAACAGAATCCAACAGCATATTAAAAGGATCATACACCATTATCCAGTGGGGTTTATCCCAGGAATGCAAGGATTCTTCAATATACACAAATCAATCAACATGATACACCATATTAACAAATTGAAGGAGAAAAACCATATGATCATCTCAATAGATGCAGATAAAGCTTTTGACAAAATTCAACACCCATTTATGATTAAAAACCCTCGGGAGAGTAGGCATAGAGGGATCTTTTCTCAACAGAATAAAGGCCATATATGACAAACCCACAGCCAACATTGTCCTCAATGGTGAAAAACTGAAACCATTTCCTTGACAAAATTCAACACCCATTTATGATAAAAACCCTGCAGAAAGTAGGTGTAGAGGGAACTTTCCTCAATATAATAAAGGCCGTATATGACAAGCCCACAGCCAACATCATCCTCAATGGCGAAAAACTGAAAGCATTTCCACTAAGGTCAGGAACAAGACAAGGTTGCCCACTCTCACCACTCTTATTCAACATAGTTTTGGAAGTTTTAGCCACAGCAATCAGAGAAGAAAAGGAAATAAAAGGAATCCAAATCGGAAAAGAAGAAGTAAAGCTGTCACTGTTTGCAGATGACATGATACTATACATAGAGAATCCTAAAGATGCTACCAGAAAACTACTAGAGCTAATCAATGAATTTGGTAAAGTAGCAGGATACAAAATTAATGCACAGAAATCTCTGGCATTCCTATATACTAATGATGAAAAATCTGAAAGTGAAATCAAGAAAACACTCCCATTTACCATTGCAACAAAAAGAATAAAATATCTAGGAATAAACCTACCTAAGGAGACAAAAGACCTGTATGCAGAAAATTATAAGACACTGATGAAAGAAATTAAAGATGATACAAACAGATGGAGAGATATACCATGTTCTTGGATTGGAAGAATCAACATTGTGAAAATGACTCTACTACCCAAAGCAATCTATAGATTCAATGCAATCCCTATCAAACTACCACTGGCATTTTTCACAGAACTAGAACAAAAAATTTCACAATTTGTATGGAAACACAAAAGACCCCGAATAGCCAAAGCAATCTTGAGAACGAAAAATGGAGCTGGAGGAATCAGGCTCCCTGACTTCAGACTATACTACAAAGCTACAGTAATCAAGACAGTATGGTACTGGCACAAAAACAGAAATATAGATCAATGGAACAGGATAGAAAGCCCAGAGGTAAATCCATGCACATATGGTCACCTTATCTTTGATAAAGGAGGCAAGAATATACAGCAGAGAAAGGACAGCCTCTTCCATAAGTGGTGCTGGGAAAACTGGACAGCTACGTGTAAAAGAATGAAATTAGAACACTCCCTAACACCATACACAAAAATAAACTCAAAATGGATTAAAGACCTAAATGTAAGGCCGGACACCATCAAACTCTTAGAGGAAAACATAGGCAGAACACTCTATGACATAAATCACAGCAAGATCCTTTTTGACCCATCTCCTAGAGAAATGGAAATAAAAACAAAAATAAACAAATGGGACCCAATGAAACTTCAAAGCTTTTGCATAGCAAAGGAAACCATAAACAAGACCAAAAGACAACCCTCAGAATGGGAGAAAATATTTGCAAATGAAGCAACTGACAAAGGATTAATCTCCAAAACATACAAGCAACTCAGGCAGCTCAATTTCAAAAAAACAAACAGCCCAATCCAAAAATGGGCAGAAGACCTAAATAGACATTTCTCCAAAGAAGATATATAGATTGTCAACAAACACATGAAAGAATGCTCAACATCATTAATCATTAGAGAAATGCAAATCAAAACTACAATGAGATATCATCTCACACTGGTTAGAATGGCCATCATGAAAAAATCTACAAACAATAAATGCTGGAGAGAGTGTGAAGAAAAGGGAACCCTCTTGCACTGTTGGTGGGAATGTAAATTGATACCGCCACTATGGAGAACAGTATGGAGGTTCCTTAAAAAACTAAAAATAGAACTACCATACAACCCAGCAATTCCACTACTGGGCTTATACCCTGAGAAAACCATAATTTAAAAAGAGTCATGTACCAAAATGTTCATTGCAGCTCTATTTACAATAGCCAGGACATGGAAGCAACCTAAGTGTCCATCAACAGATGAATGGATAAAGAAGATGTGGCACATATATACAATGGAATATGACTCAGGCATAAAAAGGAATGAAAATGAGTTATTTGTAGTGAGGTGGATGGACTGTCATACAGAGTGAAGTCATACAGGCTGTCATAGAGAGTGAAGTAAGTCAGAAAGAGAAAAACAAATACCGCTTGCTAACACATGTATATGGAATCTAAAAAAAAAAAAAGGAAAAAAAATGGTCAGGAAAACCTAGGGGCAAGACAGGAATAAAGATGCAGACCTACTAGAGAATGGACTTGAGGATACAGGGAGGGGAAAGGGCAAGGTAGGACAAAGTGAGAGAGTGGCATGGACATATATACACTACCAAGCGTAATGTAGATAGCTAGTGGGAAGCAGCTGCGTAGCACAGGGAGATCAGCTCGGTGCTTTGTGACCACCTGGAGGGGTGGGATAGGGAAGGTGGGAGGGAGGGAGATGCAAGAGGGAAGAGATATGGGGACATGTGTATATGTATAACTGATTCACTTCGTTATAAAGCAGAAACTAACACACCTTTGTAAAGCAATTATATTCCAATAAAGATGTTAAAATAAACAAACAAACAAACAAAAAACAAAAACAAAAAGCTCCAAAAGAAGAATCTTCTACTTCTAGTCCAGTGTTCTCTCCACTATATTATGCTGCTTCTCCGAAGACTACATTTTGAGAAATAGATAAGCCAGGTAAAAACAATTGAAGTATAATAGAGGCCAGGTAAAATGCAATTTAATTTAGTGACTACCTGTCAATGTAGTATATTTCCTGTTTTAAGATTACTTAATACACAGTTATTTAAAACAGCTGGCATCAAGCAATCTTTTCTTTGTTAATGACCCCAAGGCACTGCTTTCTTCCCACCAAGGTATTTTAAGGGGAACTATCTTACCTCTGCTCCTGAATACGTATCTGTTTGGAGGATGAGTTCATTCAGATCAACATCATTACTGATTGGCATAGAGTGAAACTGCAAGTTAAATATTTCCCTTCTTGTTTCTGCATCTGGTAAAGGCACGTAGATGATTCTATCAATTCTTCCAGGCCGCATCAAGGCCTATAAAGAAGAAGGGGCAACAAAGATTAACCAAGCTCAGAATTGATGTTCCATATGAAGGAACCCAAGGAAAGAGGATGCCCAGAATCTCATGAATATCTCACTATTATCATAATTAGTAAATAAAACAAGTACTAGAGATTCTAAAGTCTATTTCAAAGATTCAAACAAATAAACAATGTCAGAGTACTTTTGAAAATAGAAAAGCAGGATTTCTGAAAGGCTTTTTGCTCCTCAGCAACTGTCAGGTCAGTAAAAGACGACTATTGTCTTTTAAGGAAATGTGTATATGACTTGCATTCATCATATCAAAAGGTTTTTTTTGGTACCTTCCTGCAATAACTCTTCAAATATGGGTTAAGCTGTTTTCAGAGAGCCCACAAAATAACATAGCTCAGATCAAAGAATACTTCTAGAGCTGATGGCAGTCAAATGAACTTCCCTAATATTTTATTGAAGGTGAATGCCTGAACTATCTTAGAGCTAATGAAGTCATCTATTCAGAAAAAACTATTGAGCGGTACTATATACCAGAGTTTGTTCTTGGTACTAGGAAACAGCACGAATAAGACAGATAAGTGTAAAATTGACTATAGTGAGAGTTACATGTCTGTGAATATACTAATAACCTTTGAATTCTATATTTTAAGTGGATGAATTTTATGGTATGTAAATTATATCTCCATAAAGCTATTAAGAGAGATATGGGTCAAAAGTGTGCGTGTATCTGTGTGTGCTTTGAGGGGATGGGGCAGCTTTTAGTTGGGGTAGTCAGAGAAAGCCTCTTTGAGGAGGTAACTTATGCAGATATCCAAAGGAGACACCCATACAAAGATCTGGGAAAGGGCATTCAAGGTAAAAGAAACCTCAAGTACAAAGGCACAGATGACTGGCATGTTCCAGAGACAGAAAAAACCCACTGTGGTAGAAACAGTGAATAAAGTGAAAAGACGTAGGAAATGAGGTTAGAGAGATAGTCACAGGCAGATTATGAGGTCTTAAACAACATGGTGAAGAGTCTGGACTGCATTCTATTTGCAATGAGAAGCCACTGGAAGGTTTTAAGTGGGAAGGTGAAATGGTAAGGTTTACAAGCAAAGATCATTCTTGTGGGACGAAAAAAGGTCTAATAAGAGTCCAGTAAGGAAAGAAAAGGGAAAAGAAAGGGTAGAAAAAAATATTTGAAGAAGAGGCTGAAAATTCCCCCAAATTGGTAAACGACCATAAATTCACAAAATCAAGAAGCTCAGTGAATTTCAAACAAAATAAATACAAAGAAAACCATACATGAACACATTATAGTCAAACTGCTGAAAACCAAAGATAAAATCTTAAATGCTGCCAGAGTAAATACAGGGAACAATGATTTGAATCACCAATGACTCTCAATTAAAACAATGGAGGGCAGAAACCAGTAGAACAACATCTTTAAAGTGTTGAAAGAATAAAAATGTCATCCCAGAATTCTATTCCCAGTGAAAGTACTCTTCAATAAAGAAGGAAAAATAAAGTCATTTTTAGATAAAAGAAAACCAAAGAAATCTGTTTCCAGTAGATCTGCATTACAGAAAATGCTCGAGGAAGTTCTTCAGGTTGAAGGGAGATGACACGAGATGGAGAACTGAATCTTCAGGAAGAAATAAAAAGGATTAGAAATGATATACCCCCCAAATGTAGACTCCTTCCATCTCCAAAAAAATTACTCTTCTTGCTGGCATAATCAGAAATAGCACTCCTTGAATATTTAGGAGATACTCACTTATAAACAGTGAAAAACAGCACATTTCTATATGTGTACTTATGAATATGAAGTATCCAGAGAGAAGGTGTGATAGAATACAGAAAGTAAGGAAGATAAGAACTTATACATGAACCTCTTTTAATTATAAAAACTAAAACAACAACAACAACAAACCTCCAAATCCTGAAAATGTAGCTGGGACCATACATTAAACATTACAGAAAATACAAACATTGAAACCTCATATGGTTGCTCTGTGGGACTTACTTCTTAGGGAACTGGTGCAAAAAATGATGATATTCTGTGAGTAATAAACTGTCCTCTGTCTCTGACTCAGGAGTCTCAAGTCTTTTGCCAGATTCTATGAAATTGTGGCAGACTAACTTGTTAGCTTTTAAATAGGGTAAAGTCTCGGAACCTTCATATTTCTTAATACGTATGTTCCTAATAATGGAGCCTCAACATATATAAAGCAAAAATTGACAGGTTTAAAAAGATAAATATATATAATTCCACAATCATAATAGGAGATTTTAACACTCCTCTCTTAGCACTGATGGAACTAGAAAACAAATCAGTAAGACAGAGAGGATCTAACAAGACCATCAATCATCTTGACCTAACTGATATTTATTTATAGGGCACTATGCCCAACAACGGCAGAACACATATTCTTTACAAGTACACTTGGTATATTCACCAAGACAGCCCATACGATAAGCCATGAAACAAAACTCAACAAATTCAAAAGGACTGAAATCATACAGAGTAGAACTCCATGAGAAGAGTAAGTTAGACATGAATAAAAATAGGACATAGAGGAAAACCCCAAACACATTGGAAATTAAACAACATACTTCTAAATAAACCATTGGTCAAAGACGATATCACAAAGGAAATGAGAAAATGTTTCAAGTTGAATGATAATGAAAATCTAACGTATGAAGATTTGTGGAATATAGTTAAATAAGTGCTTAGAGTAAATTTTATAACTTTAAATGCTTATAGTAGGAAAGAAGTCTAAAAGCAATGACCTAAGTTTCAAGAGTAAGTACAGGAAGGAAATAATGAACATGAGAGCAGAAATCAATGAAATGGGAAACAAACAAGAGAGAAAATCAAAGGCAAGTGTAGTTTTCTACAAAGATTTAAAAAATTGATTAAATTCTAGCTAGACTGAACAAGGATAGAGAGAACAAATCATCAACATCAGAAATGAAAGAAGGGTTATCACTATAGATCCTAAAGACAGTAAATGGATAATAATAGAATATTATAAACAACTTTATGATGATAAAAAGAAACAAATTTCTTGAAAAATTCAGGTACAAAATGGACACAAAATGAAACAGAAAATCAGAATAGCCCTACATTTATTTTTAAAAATGAAACTGAACTCATCAAAAAATTGAATCCACCATAACCAACCTTTCTGCTAACACATTATTGACCAGGGGATTTTTGCAGAAACTAATGCCTGTGGCTGTTAATACGTCTCCGGTCAAAAACGTGTTAAGAAAAATCCAAGTCCATATGATTTCCCTTCTGAATTTTACCAAAGAAATAACATCAAAATTATACAATCACTTTAGAATACAGAGAAGGGAACACGTCTCAACTTGTTTTATAAAGCCAGCATAATACTAACTCCAAAGCCTGACGAAGATATTACAAAAATTGAAAATTACAGATTAATGACAGCTTCATAAATATAGACCTAAAAATCCTTTAAAAACATTGGCAAATAGAATCTAACAATATATAAAATGGATAAATCATCATAACCAAGTAAGAATTATCCCCGGAATGCAAGGTTAGTTTAACACTCAAAATCCAATGAATATAACTCACCACAGTAAAGAGAATAAAGGAGAAAAACAATATGATCATTTAATATGTGCAGAAAAAACAAATGACAAAGTTAAAGATGTACTCACAATAAGAAAACTCTCAGCAAACTAGAAACAGAAGGGAACTTCTTCAATATAATAAATGGTATTACAAAAACCTACAGGTAGGGCTTCCCTGGTGGCACAGTGGTTGAGAATCCACCTGCCAATGCAGGGGACATGGGTTTGATCCCTGGTCCGGGAAGATCCCACATGTCGCGGAACAACTAAGCCCGTGAGCCACAACTACTGAGCCTGCGTGCTGCAACTACTGAAGTCCATGTGCCTAGAGCCTGCGCTCCACAACAAGAGAAGCCACTGCAGTGAGAAGCCCGCACACTGCAACGAAGAATAGCCCTGCTCGCCGCAACTAGAGAAAGCCTGCACACAGCAACGAAGACCCAATACAGCCAAAAATAAATAAATAAATAAAAGTAAAATAAAATAAAATAAAAAAACCTACTGGTAACATCATAATTGTCAAAATATTCAATGTTTTCTACCTAAGATCTAGAACAAGGTAAAAAACACCACTTTCACCAAACATTATAATAGAGATACTAGCCTTTGCAATAAGGTGAAACCAGAGTAGGGAGGCTATGGGGGGAAGAAAGTATAGAACTTGGAAGAGTAAAAAGTAAAACTATCCTCATTTGCAGATAACATGAGAGTTTACATAAAACTCCTACGGAATCTACAAAACAACTAATAGCAAGATTACAGGATACAAGTTTAATATTAGAAAAAATGTATTAAGCAGCAAACTAACTAGAAAATGAAGTTTAAAAAATCCACTTTATGGAAATATATAAAAAATATAAAAGACAGGAATAAAATTAACAAAAGAATGCTTCATTGAAAACTACAGAGCACTGTTGAGAGAAATTAAACAAGACCTATTTAAACAGAGAGATATACCATGTTCATTGGAAGACTCAGAATTATGAAGATATTCTTTCTTTCCAAATTTATCTATAGACTCAGTGCAATTCCAATCAAAATTACACAAAGACTTTTTAAAAAAGTGACAAACTGATTATAAAATTTATATGGAAATGCAAATGACTGAAAATAGTGAAAGCAACCTAAAAAAAGAACAAAGTTGAAGGACTTACCTGACTTCAAAACTTACAATGCTAATAGAGAAACAAGACAGTGTGATAAGGTCTAGAAGACAGAAATAAAAGATTAATAGAACAGAATAAGGAATCCATATTGATTTTTATTATTAATGCATTCAATGAGGAAAGGAAAGTATTTTAAGAAATGATGCTCAACAACTAGGTACTCATATTTTTTTTTTTTTTTTTCTTGCGTTACGCGGGCCTCTCACTGTTGTGGCCTCTCCCATTTGCGGAGCACAGGCTCCG